TCTAGCATGGCGTAACTATTCAAGTAATCATCCATGTAGTGATTTTTTACGATAGCGTTAAGGACTAGCGGATGCGTTTCGGCGTGTGCGCACGCATTGTGATCCCTAACACTATGTGCGAGGAAAGCCGAGCTCCTTGCTCCGAGAATCATAGATGCCATTACGAATTCACGCAGTGGACTCTTACGTTCATCACTTCATCATAGAAACAGTTGACTGCGCAGTTCGATCGCGGCGGTCGATCTTTACGCGTAAAAGCAGAATATTTTGAATATCCGTGGACACCGTTAATTCGTTTTCCCGCAACCGAAACAGTAAACCCGGTAAATTCCGAAACAAGTCGGGGTGATGCGTGAGCCGCTGTATCGAACACGAGTCTCATCTTCCCTAGTTTGTTCGGATTCCTCACAGCGAAAGTTCACCTGCGTAGTATACGCATCACTAATCTCCGGTGACTGGTCCATTTTCCTCTCAATGGCTAGGAGTCTTTATGCTGCGTGCACCTGGTACTGCTCACCGACCTTCTTGATGGTACGCTGCAAAATGTCAACAGTGCGATCCTCCTCCCGCCATGGCCTGCTCTTGAGTGAGATACCGATGGAGTCGATCTTGTACTGCCTCTTGAGGAGATCCGTTAACTCCTGTCACTGTCTGGACTGACTAACGTATTGACGTCTTCCACTATCCGCCCGTTAACGTTCGATATATACCGTTTCACCGTCTTGCTTGCATATCACTCGCGGCGTGGTTCCTTGCAAGACCCATCCTAATAACGTTCTCACGGCAATCGGTTGTCTACGACGTCCTATTCGTAAATTACGTGTTATGATTAAGTGTCAGTTGTCTGATCCGATTAGCACTTTAGGCTTCGCATTGTCGTAACAAATTCTGCTCGGTAACCCACGTAAATGGTTCAACCGTAAACACTCGCTACCGACGGACTGTGATCCTACTATGAAATCATTAATTATCCGAGCACTAACTACGTACGTATCACTTTTCGTCCTACCACATATTCCTATTTTCACTACGCGGCTATTAGCCTCACGTTGGCTATTTTATACGCCTCGGATATTCAATGACTTCGTTGGTCCATCCGCACCTAATTCACTGGCTAATTCGTCGTAAATTAGTGAGATCGTGGACCCTTCGACGAGGAGCGCGTAGGTCTAAATCTCTCTACCTGTCAGTCCGCGCACTACAATAGGACACACTTTTAACAATACTGTCTCAGTACTAGCCGTGTTAGACGTTTTCATTGGACTCGCAGATGCTCCCGGTGTTTGGGTTTTCTTGGCGTGGAGTAACTCGTGGTAAGGGGTGGTGCAGCCATCGACGCCACATTCTTGGTCTTGCATCTTAGACGCCGAAGCTTGATGCTCAAATACTTGAAGAACACTCCCTCTTCCTTAACCCACTTCCACCGGATATCCAAGTCGATCTAGTAGATCTTCTATGATCGCGGCAAATATATCTGTGCGCGGCGCGGATGCACTGGTTTAAAACAATCGCTCGGTCGTCGACACTGACATAGCGGGGCGCGGCGGTGCGGGTGCGGGCATAGTATACGCGGGTGTCTGTAAGGGCGCGGCAGCGGGCGATTGTGCCGTCGATAGGTACTTTGAAGGGGACGCGGGTGCTTCCTCAAAGATGCGCATTCTTCTTCTTGTCCCACGCATTCTGTCCCACGTTGCAGCTTCCGATCGGTAGCTTAGCTTTCGTTCCGGTTGCCGTTCCCGCCACATGTGGCGTTACCAGTCGAATACCGCTTGGCACCGTTAAGTAGTAATCAACTGACTGCGTAAACGCGGTAAAAAACAAGAATATGATGCTCTGTAGTGACGTATGACATATGACAGACTATTGGTAGAAACAAGGATCGATGTGACCGCAGCAAATGTTCGATCTTCTTTATTACCTGACGATCTTCTTACTTGGCCGACGATCTTCTTTCTTAACCGACAATCTTCGCCGATGATTTTCTATAACAATCTTCTCGGTGATCTTCTATAATTGTCTTCTGGCTTCAATCCGGCGGCGATGGACCAAAGAGTTGAAAAGGACGGGGAGAGCAGATGAACTATAAAATTGAACGTGGACTGTATGAATGTATAATTTGGCTGATCGAAATGAGTTTACTGTTTGTCTATCCAACTAGCTGACGAACTCTAAGAATAGAATAGAATAGAATAGAATAGAATATTTTTTATTCAATATACATTACATGTGTAATTCTTATTGAAAGTCATTTTTTACTTTACCACTGGTTCGAAAAAAACCCTCTGTCCTGGGAAGAACCAGCAAGAAACCCAGCGGGACTTTTTTTTAAATAAATTTTACAATATAAATGATTACGAACTATTTACAAAATTTATTTTAGAAACTGCTTGGAAGCGATCACCTCATTCCCAGGGGTTATTATCAACCATGTATTCATTTATACTATAATAACCCTTTTTATACAGTTTCAGCTTAATAAAACATTTAAACTTGGTAATAGACAGAACCTGTACACTTTCCGGGACCTTGTTGTAATAGCGTATACATTGCCCCAAGAATGAATTACTGACTCTGTGGAGTCGAGAAACTGGTATCACTAGCTTGTGTTTGTTCCTAGTGTTTACAGAATGTATATCCCTTCTTTTACTAAAACTATCTTTGTTTTTGTGAACATACATTAAATTTTCGTAAATATACTGAGAGGCCAAAGTTAATATATTAATTTCTTTAAAATTATCTCTAAGAGACTCTCTCGGTTTTAGATTGTAAATAGCTCTAATGGCCCTCTTCTGTAAAACAAAAATAGTTTCTGAATCAGCCGCATTTCCCCATAGCAAAATCCCATAAGACATTATGCTATGAAAATAACTAAAATAAACTAATCTAGCTGTCTCGACACTAGTGAGACCTCTAATCTTTTTTACAGCATAGGCTGCAGAACTTAGTCTGCTTGCTAATTTGGATATATGGGGGCCCCACTGGAGCTTTGCATCAAGAGTGATACGTATACGTAAGCTAAGGGACTGTTTATTGAAAGAATTAAACCAAACTAACTTCCAGACCTATCAGAGCAGGAGTTCCCCAGGGCTCTGTGCTCTCCCCGACCCCATACTCACTTTACGTAAGTGACATCCCTTCGATACCAGGTACTCATCTCGCACTAAACGCGAATGATACTACCATCTATTCCTCAGACGTTCACCCTATTATAATCTGCAGTCTACTCCAAGCTGCAGTAAACGCACTAGGCGATTGGTGGAGGAAATGGAGAATCCAACTGAACCCCGATAAGCAAAGCCATCTTTTTCAGCAGAAGGTGTTTTTATAACACATTAATGGCACAGATTAAAAAATATAATAAAGGTACGATCTCCCTCTACGGCAGCCCAATCCCATGGGTCCGGGAGGAGAAATACCTGGGGGTGACCTTAGATTGTGCAATGAACTTCTCTCAGCACATTACAACAGTTAGAAACAAGGCAAAATTCGTTGTATATCGTCTCTTCGCCTTAACCAACAAAAGCAGTAAGCTGTCCTTAAGACACAAACTGCATCTCTATAAAACCTGCGTACGTCCTATTATGACATACGCGGGTGTGTCCTTTGCTCACGCCTCCAAAAAGAGTCTAAAACAACTTCAAGTTGTTCAAAATAAATTCCTGCGTCAGATCACAGGAGCTCCCTTCTATGTGAGGAACGCGGATCTTCACCGCAACCTCGATATGCCCACTATACACACGTATCTTAAGGAATTATCCTTAAGATACTTCGATTCGATAAAAGAACATGAAAATCCGTTGGTGGATGAGGCGGGCTCGTACTCCCCACTGAGGGATGCTGCCCCCCACAGGAGACGTCCCAAGAACGTTCTTCTTGATCCCGACGACGAGATCACTTCCATGAATAGGTCGATCCCGTCCCCCCCCCCTCCACTGGAGAGGGAACTAGTTTAGTAATCATAAACACTCACACACACTCAGACACTACTCTAGTACAGAACACTAGGGCACACCGCATTCGCCGGCGAATGCATCGTAACAGACACACCCCGTACACGAGGTTTAACACCCGTGATACGGGGCGTTTCTAACTTTTGCGACCCGTTAACAAAATTGCGATAGTGATTCAAGCCGAGGTTCGTACCTCCTTCTGAGGGGCCCTTGAATCGCATCGAGCCCCCCCTAGCTCGAGGCGCCTCACTCCGAAAGCAGGAGTCGGGGTGCCTCGGGACTGCAGTCGGCGAAGCCTCGCCGCCGGCAGAATCGTTGCACTCAATAGTTCGTAAGTCCTCACTTACGAGCCTAATTAGATGAAGCTGTTAAGGCCGCAGGGCCAACAGCGTACACATTAAAAAAAAAACCAAACTAAGAAACATTAATTTATTTCCTATGTACAATATTCGCGGCAGTAACTGTTTACTGGGGTTCGCATAGTTGGTAGTCTCCCACGAGCGCTCGGTGCGCGCTGATTGGTCGCGTGCATTGTATGATTGTGTTGCGGTGTGGTGGGCATTCGAGGGTGACGGGGTGCCAGCGGCTCGCCTCGCCATCCGTAACAAGTAAATTTCGCTCAAATAATCACTCTGGACGTTAGAAACAAGTATTTTGTGTTATTAGGAGCAGGTATCATAGGTTTGACAAAGTTTCAACCACCATGGTATGATGAGAAAATAAATGTCTGCAGATATTCATTTTATTCTTCTATCCTTATAGGCTAGGCTTATATTTCCACGCTTGGCAGGCGAATTGGCAACCGTAGTTTTTTTATAATTTGGAGTTGTTATCAGGTAGATGCTGCTGCCCATCTCCTGTTTCAGTTTCCCTCTATTGCCTCTTACACGCACGGTACGATATGGGGTAGTGGATATTCCTACACCGCCCCTGCTGGTGAGGTGATTCATCTTATCGTTATTCATGAATTTATATAATGCAGCATTTTGTTTTTCAGAGTAAAGCAATCAAAGGAACCTAATAATACAATCTGACTGTCAATAGATAAAAATGAGTACGGAGTATCTTTCAAAGGATATTTTAGAAGAAGAGTTTTTGAAAATTTCCGCTTCGTATCGTTACTTACAAAAATTCTTAGGATCTTGCCGAGTTGATGCTCGCGATAGATTTGTCACCGCGCCAACAAAGTATCAGAAAGCGTATACCGTCATGTGTATTGTAATCGCTACCTTTTTATTTATAAATTTAAACTTAATATTATATAATGAAATGTCTGGAAAAAAATTTAATATTTACCGCATTATATTTTGCGCTCTGTCATTGAATTTCGTCACTTATTTACTTAATATCATACATGTTAGATTTTTTAATGGCGAAGATAACGCTAAATTCTTTTGCCAGTTGCAAAGAATAGATCGTATGTTAAATATTGAAAATAATAAAATAATAAATAGTTTTGCAATTATAATGAACATTGCTTCGATATCATTCTTAATGTTAGCGTATCTAATAATCTGTGGTGCTTCATGGTACCAAGAAATAATAGTTTCTATGGGGTTGCTCGGAGTTCTATACAGTCAAACCACGTTTACAATAGAAATCAGTTTCTGTGCAAATACCATAATAATATTTTATGTTCGGCTACGTTTTTTAAACTCAGTCATTCGTAACTATTTGCATAAAAATATTAAATACGCAAAGATGGGATTGATCAATTATCCTTCTGAGGAGCGAATGTGTTACTTAGCGAGCAAAATACATAACTTCGCTTCATGCGATACGGATATTTATTTAAAAGAAATATTTGATGCCTTCTCTAAGTTTCAATACCTTTATAGATTTCAGGTAATATAACGTGTAATAATAACTGTCTTATGTTTTACGTTACTTTAAAATACTTATTTTTAAAATATTATTGCAGATGTTTCTATATTGTTGCAAATTTGTCGCAAATATAATAATATCATTTGTATTGGGACTCTTAATGTTGCAGAACCAAGTAAGTTTCAATATCAAAATAAACTTCATTTTATTCACATTTTTACTAAGTCGTCCTGGTCTTTTCGATAACGACGATTACTTCTGAATAAGTAGGTACCCAATCATCTGCACGAGATATAATATAGTGCCATAATTGTAAATACAAAGAGAACAATAATTATGAGATCATAATATTATGTTTAAGTAAAGATGCCACGTCATAGAGCCAGAAGTAATTTTTACGCTTTAAATTTATCAACTAGATCAGAAAACATGTGGCAAATTTAAAATGTTGTACAAACGACTTCAATATGAATATAATTTAGTGTTGATTTATTTAAAACCCCTCAACCGATTTCGATGAAATTTAAATGTGTCTACCTGGGAAGTATACCATTTGAAACAAAAATGTATTTTCCAAATCGGTGCTGGTGTCTTCGAGTAATCGGTGAACATACATAAAAAAAAGATTCCGACGAATTGAGAACCTCCTACATTTTTGAAGTCGTTTGAAAAGGTCTTTAGAAATAGAATTTAACAGTGTCAAAAGTGCGAGACCTCTGGAACTGTAAGACCGCGAGAGGAAAAGCCGTACAGGCTTAGCTAGCGGTGGATTTTTACGGACTGATGAAGAAGAAAGAAGAAACTTTCACCACTAATTAATATTGACATTATAGCTTCCTAACTTAATCTTTGTAGGAAATGAATTTATTCATCAGTGTTCAAATTCCAATCGTAACGATTATCGATATACTTTTATCGATGTTTCTCTGCATACGTTGTCAGCTGTTCCTCAACGAAGTAAAAACTACAAAAAAATTATCAACAAGCGTTATGGCACTACATATTACTGGTAAGTAAATATCAACAGATGATGCAATTATTATTTTTTCACACAAACTAGGCTCCAGAATGAATTCGAACTATAATAACTCACAGACTAGCTACATTTGTACTAAAAAGTATCACAAATTTATTCTTTAAGGCTAGGTGTTACAAGTGCATTAGGTTACAAGCGGCCGTCGCTAAGATCAAGTCGGGCCACGCATAATATTATGATCGTGATTTTTACAAAATAATCACAAAAATCGGTTGTCTGTAAAGTCGGTTTACTGACGATAGTTGAACGTGACAACGTCATAAGAAAATGTTGCTATAAACAATTGATACCACATTCACTTTTCACTGCACTTCATACTTGACGAAAACATGTAAATGTATTATTGTATAGCAGCTGTCTATGCGGACGCATCGCTCACTCAAGCTCAAGTAAGAGAGAGGCAGATGTCGAACGCTGCTGAACGCGGAGGCCGATTGTGCCTCTTTGTCGCTCGTTCCGCGCTCTCTCTTGCACTTCAAGCCTTAAATGGAACGCCTCAGAGCGAGGTAACGCCGCATGAGTCATGTTTTTTCGTGCGTCCAGCCAGCTTCATCGAATTATAAGACGTTGTCACGTCAAAATATTGTTTTAAAGTTATAAACATATATTTACACAATGAGAAATAAACACAAAAACAAAAGCTTAACTATAGTCTATATAAGTTCCATAAAACTTAATTATCATAGTTTCGAAGTATAGCGAGTATATGTAGAATAGCTCCGAACTATCACGTGGAGCGTTGACCGCTTCCCGGGCTGAACACCTTGCCCGGTGGGAGATCTCCCCCTTTCCTTCCACGGCCAAAGATCTTTAATCATAAACATTTCTTAAGAAACTGAAAAATTGTCAACCGCCTGTTTGTTGAACCGGCAGCACGCGCGGCTGAGGTGCTTTCAGGTTATCTCACAGACAATTCTAGGTGCCTCTTTAAAAAACTTTGTACCCAGTCTTTCCAAGATTCTTTTTTATATCGTTAAATGGATGTGGTTTATTATTTTTAATTGCTAGCCTGTATACTAAACCTCCAAGGTTTTTAGTAGTAAGCCAGTATAGCCTGCTCGCCATATCTAGTATATAATTGCATAAGGCTGCTTTTCCACCGGAGATGTGCGAGGTAGCTGGGGGGTGCAAGGATGCGTAGCGAGGCTGTGGAACAGTGTGAGCGTTTCTACCAGAGACGTGATAGGCCGCTGAGCGATGTAAGTATAAATAGCGACGCTGTGAAATGGTGCGCAGATAAGCGGTGCGAGGATGTGTAGCGGGCTCGTTTCAGATACGAGCGGGATGAGGTTGGTGGGAGTGGTGTGCGTGCGCCACTGCCCGCTGCTTCTTGCGTTCTTCACTAGGACACATCCCTCGCAACACGTCTCTCGCACACATTCCTCGCAACACATCCCTCGCACACATCCTTCCCTTGTTTTGTATATACAAAAATATCGCTCCGCTGAGCCGTTTCCACCAGAGCGGCAACAAACACATCCCTCGCTACGCATCCTCGCACATCTCTGGTGGAAACGCAGCCTCACTCCTTTTCTTCATCATAAGTAAAAACTGTTGTTTTAGGGCCTAATTGAACCTCAATTTTTATTGCAGCTGGAGCATTATCATTAGACCTTTCACGAACTACCTTCACTTTCTTTCTACAGTAGTTTGGAGGACACCAAAAGTATACGCTGCTAGACAGTAACCCATATTGCCTTTTACCACAGAGTCCACCGCATTTCTCATGCTCTCTTCTGACCAATGTCCTACCTACCTTTTTTATATAGGATAGGGTGACAAACGAGCACACAGTCCACGTTATGGTAAGTGGTTGCTGTGGCTCATAGACATCTACATCTATCCTCATTTGCGAATCAATATGCAGATGCTTTGTCACCCGTGAGGACTAAGATGGAATGCCTCTTTTCCAGTATAAAGGGTCTCCGGTTCTCTACACTCACCATACGAAACACAGCAGTGTTAAGCTGCTACTCGTATTTTACGCTGGTATTCTGTGAAAGCGTGGTCCTTCCCCGGTCGAGCCGACCCATTCGTGCTAGAACTATACTACTTATTAGTAGTATAGTTATAGCACGAATGGGTCGGCTCTACCACGTATACCAATATAGCTGCAGCACGGCTCTACCACGTATACTTAAACCAACTTAAGTCAACTTATATAGGTACTATGTGTACGAAATGTACGTAGCGGTTTAATCGATGGGTTTTACTACCTTTTAGCTTTATTTAATTACCTATGTCATAGATCCATTATTTCAGGACCGTTAAGAGAGAAAGCTAAAAGAATGTGGAAAATTATAGATAAGACGCCGCCAAAGTTCTCTGTTTACGACATGTGGCATATGGATGCGTTCCTTCTGCTAAAAATTGTTCACCTTCTATCCACCCTAATTATAACTATGTTGCAATTCACTTTGTTATAAAATCAGAAAATAAAATCCGATCCGAATAGCATTCAAAAGCATTTTTTTATTTAAAAACACCTTATCATAAGGAATTTGTTTTGCATCACGGAGCCGTTTAACGTATAAATTAAATTTCATGCATTGCTTTGCAAGAACCAACACCCACACACGAAAATCAACGGTGGATTAGGTTTGCAAATGGTTGAGGAAAATTCCTGAAGAAATCTGTGTTTGAGAAACAAAACAATATTTTGAATCCAGTATGTGAAGCCCGAATATATACAAGCGGGAGCAGCGCAACGGACTGGTTGCTCCATTACCCTATAAGGAATGAGAGCAGGCCTAAGCCCGTACTGGGATGTATATAGGCTGTAACTTTTAACTGTCATATGTCTTTGGACTATTTTTAAAAGCAAAGTAAGTGGTTGCTGTGGCCCATAGACATCTACATCTATCCTCAACTAAGAATCAAAATGCAGATGCGTTGTCACAAGTGAGGACTAAGATGGAATGCCTCGTTTCCAATAAATAGGGTGCGTCTCCAGTTCTCCACACTCACCATACGAAAGCTATTTTACACTGGTATTCTGTGAGAGCGTGGTCCTTCCCCGGTCGAGCCGATCCATTCGTGCTACAACTATGCTAATAATATAGCTGCAACATGACTCTACTATATGATATTATAAGATGATATTATTGTGTTCAGTACTTCCTTGCAAGAGCACATGGTAAATCTCGAGAAAGTATTTCAGAAACTACGGTAATCCAACTTTAAAATACAAATGGATAAATCCGAGTTTCTTAAATTGAAAACTGCTTATTTAGGACATAAAATTAGTAAAGATGGCATTAAACCAAATCCTAGCAAAATATCAGCCATAGAAAAGTATCCATTACCCAAAACCGCAAAAGTCAATAAACAGTTTTTAGGCCTTATAGGTTATTAACAGAAGTTCATCCCATACTTAGCTCGAATTACTAAACCTCTGACACAATGTCTAAAAAAGGGACGAAAAATAACTCTTGACATAGACTATATTAACTGCTTCAGAAAAGTGCAATACTCTCTTGACCAACGATCCAATCCTCCAATATCCTGACTACAACAAAGAAGTCGTTCTACCCACTGACGTATCCAATGTAGCGATAGGAGTCATCCTATCTCAGGGACCCATAGGATCAGACAAACCTGTATGTTACGCTTCTAGAACTCTAAATGAAAGTGTAGTGAACTACAGCACTATAGAGAAAGAACGCCTTGCCATTGTGTGGGCACCCGAGTACTTTAGAGCTTTAGACCCCATCTATTTGGCTGTACTTTTAAAATCTTAATTGATCATAAACCCCTACTGATTTTTCTGTCATATACAAAAAGGGAAAAAATAACAACAATGCCGATGCCCTTTCCCGAATGGAAATACATAACGAAGAATCATGTTCTATGTTAGCTAACCCATCAGTAAAAACAGCCCCTTGCACCGGCTCGACTACTCAAACGGCCCACACAAGCCAAGAAAATCCGATCCTCGAAATTCCATCACCGACGAACCTCTTAATAAATTTCACAGACAACTAATATTAACAATCGTAGGCGACATAAAAAGCCAACCAATAGTGACTAAACCTTTTGATACACATACTCGAACGCCTGTACAGATAAGACAACCGGAAATGGAGGTAGATCTTGCCAACACTATAAAAGAATACGTTAACCCAAAAGCCAAAACCGGATTATTAATTAACTACCCTCTTTGCTGCATGTATGACGTCATTACAATCTTACAATATATTTGAACAATAAGAAATATCAAAACCAACCATCGCGGTATCAAGGAGAGTTTCTTGGCCCTTTCGAAACGATATTATGGGCCTAAAATGAGAGAACACATTACGAAACATATTAATAAATGCACCAAATGTGGTCAGGTTAAGTACGATAGGAAAACTATAAAAGCTCAATTCAATATCGGGCCCCCAGCTACCAAACCTTTCGAGATTATCCATATGGACATATTCACAGTACCTAATGAAAGATATCTCACATTTATAGACGTATTCTCCAAATATCTACATTTTGATTCTTTATTGAGTGGTGACAACGCATCTACATTTTGATTCTTTATTGAGGATAGATGTAGATGTCTATGGGCCACAGCAATCACTTACCATCAGGTGGACTGTGTGCTCGTTTGTCCCCTATCCTATAAAAAAAAAGTTTTTCAAGCCTTCACTCTTGTTCTACTCTCTTCACCCTTATCAGGTACAACTTCATAATTTGCTGGATAAGTTTGAACCTCCTCGTAGACATAGAAAATAGAGATCTCTGATTACAAATTAAAATAATTATCTACTCTGTATTGAACATTGAATTGATATGTTCAAGCAGATCATTTAAGAGATGGAATATAACATTGAGCATTTTGCAAAGCCTACTTACCTTCTGTACACATCATGGTCTTCCTCTTACTATTGTGACCGACAATGGGACTGAATTTACGAACCAGCTATTTATAGATTTCGTACAATTACACAAAATTCACCATCATAGAACATTAGCCCACTGTAATAATGACAACGGTAACTTAGAGCGGTTCCACTCGACTATATTGGAACATCTGCGAATCCTAAAACTACAAACGAAAGACGAGCATGTAGTTAATCTAATGCCCTATGCTACCTTAGGATATAACAGTTCTGTGTTCCACTAAATGTAGGCCTTACGATATTGTCAATGGACATTTCAATCCTAGAGACCCAATCGACATAGACTTGAAAAAACATTTACTACAGCAATACATACGAGTACTAACACACCGAGATCAAATGAAAACAGTGTATGAAATAATTAACGAAAATTCCTTTCCCAAACGAAATAAATCGCGGGAACCAGAAGTAGAATACCAACCCAACCAACAAGTTTTCATTTCAACCCCCTAGCTAGCAGCCAAAAATTGGCCCCACGTTACACACATGACCATGTTCTAGCTGACTTACCAATACACATTTATACATCTAGGAAGCGTGGTCCGATAGTGTACTGTGTACCTGTAATGTAGTATAGATAAACTACGCTATAACAACCCGTGAGTGTCGTAAGAGGTGACAGAGAAAAACTGAAACAGTTGATGGGCAGCAGCATCTTTCTGCTAACAACACTAAATAAGAAAAAAACTGTGGTTGCCAGCCCGCGTCCCTGTAGCGGCAACTATGACAATATGTGAGGCAATATATATGCGGGAGGCCTAGCCACCTAGCAGTGTGCTTTATAGGCTGTAATCCTGTAATGGATGAAAAAACATCCTTACAAAATATACACATAGATATAATATTTTATTTACATATAGATATTTATGCATATTTAATATTATGTCAATTATGATAAAAATGTACATGTAAGTACCATAATATACTATAAAAAAGTACCACCATATGGGACTTAAAGGAATAATTTAAAATTAAAAATTTTGTACAGCCGACTTCAATATAAGTTATTTAAGAATAACTCAAAAACTATTGGTCTGACCTTGATCAAATTCATATGGGACCACACGAGAACTATCAGCTTTCATATAAAAAAAGAATCATCGAAATCGGTTCACCCAGTTCAAAGTTATGAGGTAACAGACATAAAAAAGACATACAGTCGAATTGAGTACCGTCTCCTTTTTGGAAGTCGACAGAAAAATGCATCCCCTTCTGTAGCTCTGTCTCGCCAGCAACGCAAAGTCAAAATTTGCATTTAGAAAAAACCAAAATTAGGGGCTTTTTAGGTTCTAATTAGGTGCTCATTTTAAAAATTAGGTGCCCTAAAATTTTTAACGCAACCAGTGCCTGATTTAGAGTTCCGCAGCCCTAGGCTAATTATGAATATCCGCCCCCTACTGGCCTGTGCTGTCTGTGCCTGCCTAGTCCACTAGTATATTTACTAAATTTTATATTTTGCTAGCTTTCCACGCCGCGGTTTCGCCCACATTAAATCAAATTTTTCTGATAGTAAGTGTCAATCATCGCCCATGAACAACTGCAACAACAGGAATTTGCCGGCCCTTTTTAAAGAAGTAAGCTCATTTCTTGAAGGTCTATAAGTCGTATCGATTCAGAAAACCGCCGGTGGCAGATGATTCCACAAAGCAATCTTACGAAGAAGAAAACTCCTAATTAATCGCACAGTCATGGTGGACCGCCAAGTATCCAGATGATGTGGATAGTAGCGTGAGTTTTGTCCCGATGTGCGTTGGTGGAATTTGGCGGCTATTATTAATACGAACAATTCTTCAGTGCGTTCTGCGTTCGTGATAAATGCGAGAGAAAATGCAAAGCAACATCTCTTCGCAGCTCCAGTAAATCGAGCCTATCAGATAGAACTCGGTCGTTGACGATGCAAACCGCTATGCGCTGGAAGCGGTCAAGTGAAAGGAGCTGGCACTGGAGAGCCCCGGCCCAGGGATGGGAACAGTATTCCATGTGAACGATGCCAAGAATTTCGATGCTGGTTGAGGCAACATGGGAGTGTCTTGAAATTGAGGAGATAAGACAAAAGGGTTCCTTATAACAGTAAATGCGTAAACCTGTATCTTCTGAAGTTTAAACTATACTAGAATCATACCGAGATTTTGTTTATTAACGACTCGAAATCAGATACAAGTTTGTTTCGATACTCGATGACGTGTTCCCGAAAAATATTAGCACGGCCGGTGTAAAAAGCATCACCGTTATTAGAACCAGTAATAGCATCATATAATTGATATACAGAAGAAACAACTTAGGTGATAGCACGCAGGCTTGTGGAACACTAGCATTAATAGACTCGTAATCGGTCTATTTGCTACGATTTAGATGATTTACAAGAAAATTCCATCTAATTGCACAATTTCTTGGGAAGTCCATAGGAAGAAAGCTTTTAGACAAGCCCTTTGTACTAACGCCCATCGAAGGCCTTCGTTATTTCCAAATTAACGGCCAAGGCCTCCTTTTTGGACTCTACTGCATCCACTCATCTATAAGTTAGGTAAATTAGAAGATTAACTAGATCCAGCTAATTAAATGCGGTCAGCATTGGCGGTAGTTTATAATAGATTCCATTATTATGGATAACACGGAGGCGACGGTGATAAGCCTGTAGTTGGACGTGTCTGAGCGGTCGCTTTTTTAGGGATCGGGTGCACTAAAGCACCGGAAAAGTATAAATAAGTACCGGAAAAGACGCGTTAGATCCGGTGCTAATTCTGGAGCACCTCTCTTCAGCACAATAGGAGGCCCACTTGTTGACGTCCAGGGAGAGGAGTGCTTCGTGCACCGAGCGCTGTGTAAACTGCATATCTAGCATCAAGCTCTCATATCGCGGGATGGTCGGTGGTGTGTACCGATAGTCGTGCTGCACTCAAAAAGACATCCTCAAAGATCGACTTTCTCCTTTGCGGCATGAGCTAGTGAGTCATTTTTCCTGGGCAGAGATGAAACAGATGGCTGACAGAAGTTCCCTTCGACAGCCTTAGCAAAACACCTTAATAAAATTAGAGGTATAGAAGAAAGTTAGAGCAGCATAAAATCTTTGAATCGCGTTCAACGAAAGACGATAAGTACCAAATAATTAGTCTTATTTTTACAATCTATTTATTTGCTTTTTACTTCATTATTTATTGAGAATATTATACCAAATTTTATCCTGTACATAAGTGTTGCTTTTTTTTATAGGATCGGGTGACAAACGAGCACAAAGTCCACCTGATGGTAAGTCGTTACTGTGACCCATAGACATCTACATCTATCCTCAATAAAGACTCAAGATGCAGATGCGTTGTAACCCGTGATAGAATGCCTTTTTGTAAAAGCAAGCTCAGCGCCACCTCGAACCTTGCGCCCTAGGCTTCAGCCTAGTTAGCCTGTGGGTAAATCAGGCCCTGACCGCAACGAACTGTTGAAATTTGCGTTGCTGGCAAAACGTAGCTAGCAACCCAGTGACGATAATAGATATACGATAAATATTAAATGTTATATATTTAAGCTCAATATCTAAAATTTTAGTACTAAATACACACATAATAGCCTAAATAACATAATAAGTTATTAGGTGGCTCTTCTAATCAAATAAACCGTTATTGTCCTAATTTCATAATGGAGCTTTTTACTAATTGCTACCCAAGTTTAGGGTGACAAATTAACGAAAGTAATTTCATTAGGTACGTTATCGTATTCAAGATTGATGAAAAGAATGTAAAAAAGTATAAAAATGTTATGTTCAGACCAAAGTAACACAGACAATCACCACATTTCGTAAAGTTTTCCTCGGCGTAGGAAAAATACAATATCTAGTAAACTACAGAGGCTATATT